AATTTGAGGTGGGTACTCCCTATTAGACTTTTACTTAGGAGCTGTTTGGCAACTTCTGAATAGGTAAGTACTGAACCAGTAAGAGGTCTAAACCATTAAGTGCTGAACCAGTAAGAGGTCTGAACCATTAAGAGCTAGTATATTGCTTTAACTATTCAAAGGCAAATGTCTGATCAATTCAGATAAGAGGTCTTAACCATTCAGACTCTGTATAATACTTAACCATTCAGAGGCAAATCTCTTAACCATTCAGACATCTGAACCATTAAGAGGCTGAAACAAACAGTCTGAATCATTAAGTGCTGAACCATTCAGACATCTGAACCATTAAGAGGCTGAAACAAACAGCCCCTTACTCTATTTTATTAATTTCCCTATTATAAAAGTATGGTTCAAAATTTATCCATAAATACTGAATTTGTATAAATTTCACTATTTTTTACCACAAATACTCCCTCCGTCCATAAATAAAATTCTCGTTACGTGTTACGATATTTGATTGAAATTATTTTCAAATCAGTTTATATGAAAATGATACTACGTATGAAACTAAAAAATAAAAATTACATATTTAAAAATTATGTTAAAAATCAACAAAATTAGAGGTGACATAGACTATATTATTTTATTAAATAAGACATGATAATAAACTAACAAAATGAATAAAATTTGATTTTGTGAATAAAACAAGGAAGCTTTTGAAAGTAAATTTCTTAAATAGAAGGCCACACATAGACAGAGTACTCCTAGCAAAAGTGCACAACTATACACCTGCCTAAAACTCTATTTCAGAAAGGCTAAACCAAACGCGGCCTAAAAACACTTGCAGGCCTCACGACCACATCTAAGACAAAAAAGAAGAAGACCCAAATCCAATATCGAAGAACAAAACCATAGTAGTATTGCACCAATAGATCGGATCACCAAATCTGCTTTCTCATTGCTCCCGTCAATCGATTACGCCTGATGCTTCTGCTTCGGGACCGCGGCGAAGGCGCGAGACGACGACGAGGAGGAATCAGCCGGCAGAGGGGGAGGAGGCCTGGCGTTGATGGCCACGGCGGCGCGGTTAACCGGCGACGACTCGTCGATTTCATCGCCGATCTTTTTCGCTTTCAACAAGGAGACCTGCGGGGGCGCGTTGGCTATACTCGCTGCCGCTTTCTGCTGCTGGGGGAAGAAGAAATCCGTCGGGAAGAAGTTGTATTGCAGACCTGCCATTAAAATTCAAAAAAAAAAAAAAAACTTTTGTTTTCTCAACCTAATTTTTTAGTGGTTGTTCCCTCCTTATTTATATAGCCTGCGTCGTCGTAGGGGACCCGGGGACCATTTTCAGCCGTCCAAAATATGACGCGCAGCTAAAATGTGCGCCTACCGTTTTATAAGTCCAACAACCCTTATTTGCGCTCATATGAGGGGGTAGGTTTTGACTTTGGACTCTAACTTGGGAAGGCATATTCCTTTCCATGGTTTAGAAAGATGTTCTAAGAACCGGACCGGGACCGGATTCATCTCAAGTAACTCTCATTGAAGATGTTCTTATCATGAATGAGAGAGGAATATGAATACTAGCAAATAGAAATGAACATGTCACGAGTCGTGTCTTGAAATTGTAAAAGAAACTGTATAGATTATTGTATTCATTTAAGGAACTGAATATTCAACTTGCAAAGAAAAAACTCGAAGAACCCATATTATTAAGCTAGTCTTTGTAAAGATGTACGTGAGCTGAAGATGAGAGCTAATATGAGAAGCAGACATGGAGCCACCAACCAATTGTTCACGAATAAAATTATAGTCTGCCCCTATTTGTTTGGTGTGATCCATGAATTATGGAGTTAGCGGCAATGTGGACCGGAAGGCCACTTGGTTATCATAGTAGAGACGCACATGTGGCGTGGATGTTGAATGTTAATGGAGGTCAGGAACGAGCGTAGCCATATTAACTCAGTACTAAAGGATGCCATAACACGATATTTCTCCTTAGCAATGGAACGGGAGACACTACACTTAGAACATCTTTAATGGAGAGGAAAATATTAAGAAATGGCAATCTAGAAGAGAAGAAATTGAGAAGACTGATTAAAGTTGAGATAGGAAAGAAAGAGGGAGGAAAGGGTAATATACATGCACCAATAAGAAGAGAGAAAAGGAAAGAGAAAAAGAAAAAAAGTTATTTTCAAATGTGTTCTTAATTATGGTCATGCTAGGGGTATGTCATTTTGGTATGACTCATTTGTACATCAGGCAAATACAAACATTAAGTGTTACTAAAATTTGTATATTATTTATAATATTTATGTATGTATCTAAAAATTAATTAAAAGTTCAAAAGAAAATATTATAATAACAGAAGTGCTTATTAGTGCTTTTGAATGTCAATAGCAAAAGTGCAGAACCCATAAATTATTAACAAAAAATCCCAAATGGAGCTCAAATAGACTTGTCCTGTTTCGGTTACAAACATATTTGTAATGAAACAAAACATCAATACCATTTGTTTTTTTTTTGAAAGTTCAATACCATAATTCTTGATCACAAAGGAGTGCTTTTCAGTGGCTTACTTCCTACGGCAATGGAACAACAGCTTCAAAAGCTTCCACTAGCATTGCCACCCTCTTCTTCCTTGCAGGAGTTAGTTTAGTCACAATATGCTGCACTGCATAATCAAGCATCCATTGATGCGCCTTTTTCCTCTCATCCATCATTCGGTGCCGCAGATCATGCTTTTCTTGTTCTGGATCAGGCACCATTGGAAGGTTCTGTGGTTTCTGCAATTTGATTTTCCTGGCGTTTTGCAGGGCCATGATTGATCTCTTCAGAACGAGAAGCTTTCTCAGCTTGATCCACTTATTGGGTTTGTGCAACTCCGGGTTGTCTTCTTCTTGTTCTTTGCCTAGTGATGGTTCTCCCATCCCCTTGTTTTCAGTGAGATTGTCATTTCTTGGATCTTTTCCGTGTGTTCCCAGCTTGCATTCTTCCAAACATTTCTCGCCCAGATTCAAGATAGTGTGATCTGGCCCTGTGTCTAAAGAATCATCTTGAATTTGTGTTGTGAGGATCTCATTAACTGCTTCTTTAACGAGTTTAATGGCGTCGTCTCTATTGAAACTTCTTGAATCAAGATCACCTTTTTCTGCAGTGATGATGCTTTCTTCTGAATCATTATCTGCCTCATCAAGTAGTAAACTCTTAGTGTTTGATGCAATGCCTGAGAGAACGTGTTGGGATACCATATGCCACATTTTAATGTAGTTCCGGTTTCCCAACTGTTCATTTCCTGTTCCAACATCTTTAGGATATCCTCCATGGAGTCCATCAGGCAATTGCCCAGATTCTGTAGCTACTTTCATATCTCTTTCACTTTTGATGAGAGGGTGATCATCGCCTTTGTTTTCAAGCTTAAGAGATGTGAACTGGAAATGCTTATCTCCCTGGGGAGGAACCATGGTTTCAGTTTGTGCATTGGCTGTACCATCATCTTGAAGATACCCGCCATTTAGTTTATCAGATTGTTGCTCAGATTCTGTAGCTGATTTCATATCGGTTTCGGTTTTGATGAGAGGGTGATTTTTGCCTTTTCTTTCAGGCCTGGGGAATGTGAACTGAAATTGCTGATCTCCCTGTGGAGGAACCATGGTTTCAAATGCCTTTACAAGAAGTTCCACCTTTCTTTTCTGATTTGGGGCAAGTTGACTCATTGCTTGCTGAAGTGCATAATCAATCATCCATTCCTCATGCCGTTTCTTCTCCTCCACAGTTTGGTGCCTCAGATGAACCTTTTCTGCTTCGAAATCAAGTTCCACCTGCACATTTCTTGGTTTCTTCGTGTTTAGCTTTCTCACCCTTTCCAGTTCCTTGGTAAACCGTTGGAGCAGAATCCATTTCTTCAGATTACTCCAGTGTTTTGGTGCTCTTGTGTCAGATTCATTAGGAACCTCTTCTTTCGTTCTCTCCGTATTTTGACCTTCGCTGCTGCTAGCAATCATGGTGTTCATCTCTTCTGAACCAGACGGTGCATTGTGTTCCACTTTATTTATGTCAGCATATATAAGATAAGATCAAAAGGGTCAAAAATACATATATTTATTTACACTTTGCAATCACAAATTATTTTTTTATAAAAAAATATCTTACCTTCACTGTGATTCTTTCCCAGTATTTCCTGGTCTGGTGCAAAGTCACTAACCTCTGGAAGGAGAATCTTCTCTATCGCTTCTCGTACAAGCTTAACTGCAAGAACCTTCACACCCTGATCCAAAGTGGGCATTTCTTCTTCAAGAGAATCAGCTTTTAACCCAGAACCTTCTGGTGGGGCTGATTGGTTTTTGGATTCTGCAGCAAGAGCCGAAGACATGTTTCTACGTATGAGGTTCCACATGCTCATACGCTTTTCCTTCTTAGTGTCAGGTTGATTAACGGTCTTGTTGGATGATTCGGAATCCAGATCTCCGTCAATTTTAGTTTCTTTAACCTGTTTGATGTTTTTCTTCAATTTTATTGATTTTCTCCTCGCATCATGGCGCTTTGATGGAGTCGATGAATCTTGAGAATGCCCATGAAGAGAGCAATGATGATATGAACAAACTTTATAAGCTTGGAGCACATCTGAATCAGATTTCCCCGGTTTCAGTGTGGTATTTTCAGGGAACTTTGAGTTCCTCATGGTGGAAGAACAAGTAGCCTTATCTGCAATTTTGACCTTAGGGACCCTCCTAGAATAGCGAAAAGAAGGCTTTCTCTTGGACTTGAAACTGTCCCTCAAGCTAGATGTCCTCATTAAAGTTTCCAAAGATTTCCGATCAGACGGTCCTAAAATTTCTTGAGAATGACCACTAACACCAAAGCTAGTAGACTCAGAAAAGCTATTAAGACTTGCCTGGGAAGTTCCCTTCTTTCCCTCTATATCATCAGTTGCAGAAGATTCTGATCCTGTTGCTGAATCTTCATCAGATAAAGGCTTAGCTTGTTTCATGTTTCTTGATCTCCCCTTTCTCCTGAAAGACCCCGAGCTCCCGAAGTTCTCCACCTTTTTGATTTCGTCCTCCTCTTTCACTGATCTTGAATCTGAAGAATCAGCCGGATTCGTTTCCTCCCCTAGAATCTTTTCCCCCTGATCAAGAGATACAGACTGCAGAAAACCAGATTTTTTTTCCCATTCTTGATAAACTTGGGAAAAATAGAAAAGTGAATAAAAATATGGGTTTTTATGCTTTTTTTTCTTGAAAAAAGAATCTTTAGGACCCAGTCTCTCTTTCTTACATTTATTATTCATATTTATATCAGTGACAACAACATCTCTGATTAAGTCCAACATTGTTTTGATCACTTCCCAACACCCATAAACAAAATATAAAATATTTATAAAAAACAATAATAAAATGTGTGTATGTGTTGTACAGTTGGTGTGGATCACCTGAACATAATAGGCTGTTTTATTGTCATGACAGGGTGATGATGGGCTGGCCATAGTGATGAAGTCTGGCATCTGTAGTTGTGCCACTGGGCTTTGCTTCTCTGGGGTTGAACTACCACTTGAACTTGATGGATCAATATAAACGCAACAAAAACGCGACGAACGTTTTGGCTTCGAAGAAGCAGAAGAAGATGATGATGGCTTGTTGGAGCCGAACCTGCGGATTACGGATCCTTGCAGCTTCCCTTTCTTCTTGAACTCTTTCCTCTCAGTAAGGGAAGAAGATTCACCTGCCATCCTTCTCTTATGTTCTGAATTAATCATACTTTATTAGATTATTCAATTAATTAATTAGTCCTCTCATAATAATAATAATAATAATAATAATAATTTATACTTGTGCATATCTCTCATGAAAAGTATGGATTCCAAAGGTGGCTGTGGGAAAGGGGTGATTGCTGACTTTTCTTGGACAAATCAGGTGGCTTCACCCTGACTTTGGTGGGGTGGAGTACACTCAACTCTAAAAGGACCCTTCTTTTATGCTTTAGCTAGAAAGCACAAAATGGGAAATTCAAATTAAACTCCTAACAATTTTTTTCTCTTCTTCAGATTTGAAGATTTTGAGTAATTTTAATTTTATCAAGCTCTTCTTTTTTATGGTTTCCCAAACAACTTCTGAGTTTAACTAACATGATCTTTTTTTTGCCCATGATTTTATTGTTTTCACCAAGAAACTATTTTGGGAGCATATACAGAGTATATTAATAAAACACTATAATAAGTTTGGGGAAAAGCACTAAAATACCATTGGCACTATATATGGGATCCATTCTTGTACAATGCATGCATGAAAGGAAAAAAAACAGAACATTCAATTGTATTGCACTGTGCTGTCGTAGCATTTATAGGCTGTAATTTAACTCAATTTAAAAAAGTAACTTCACAATTGCGTTACATGTTTCAAAGTTAAGACTCCATAAATGAATGAACGGATCGGAGTAAGAAATTCTTTCAATTTCTTCTAACTCTTCCCATTTTTTCTTCTAACTCCTTCCGATTTTTCCAATTCTTTTCAATTTCTTCTCACTCTTTCTTATTTTTTCTAATTTCTTCTAACAATGACTTAAAAAAACTATTAAGGTTTGTTTTCATATTATTATTATTATTATCTCAATAAAATAAAAAATTGATGTAATATCACAATTTATTAAAAAAAATGTCTGGATATAAATTTTTGTTACGATTATAGAGTCACATAAATTATTAAAATCTTAAATTTATTAAAGTTAATTTAGCTTGTCATTTTGAAATTTTTTTTAACGAAGTTGAAAGAATTATTTGGGAGGAAATTCTCTATATATTGAATGACTTGTGAAATCTGGTTTTGAATACAAAGATCTAACCCTCTTTATAAAGAAAGAGGGTAAAGTAAACAAGGAAATTTTTATTCCTACTAAAATAAGAATTAAACAAACTAGGAAAGATACTAAATACTAATCTAATCCAACTAAGAAAGATACTAAACTTAATCCCAAAGGGATTCGGTTTCCTTCTTCAATCCCGCTTCCTTCTTCTGTCTCTAACACTTTTCTTCTTCAATCTCGCTTCCTTCTTCTATCTCTAACACCCCCCCTCAAGCTGGAGCATGGGAGTTCAACATGCACAGCTTGGATATAAAACAACGTTCCCTCGGTTCGCGCATCTGCGCAAGCTTCTCCAGCAGGTCCCACGTGCAATTCCTACACGTACAAATTGGGAACTGCTCCAAACCTGCAAGAAACGTTCCCTCGGTTCGCGCATCTGCGCAAGCTACTCCGGCAGGTCCCACGTGCAATTCCTACACGTACAAATTGGGAACTGCTCCAAACCACAGAAACTGAGCAACGATCAATGGACGCGATGTCGGACGATCGTGAACAGTAACCGCAATCAAGAGAAATTGTCGTCAGGACGGTTGACCCACTCGTCCGTTCTTCCGCAACGGTCGACCGTTCCGGTAGTTTGGCAACAACAATAGGCGATGATCGATGGACACGATGCCGGTCGATCGTAGCCTCGGAAATCTTCTAGGGTTTTGGCTCCGATACCATGAAAGAATTATTTGGAAGGAAATTCTCTATATATTGAATGACTTGTGAAATCTGGTTTTGAATACAAAGATCTAACTCTCTTTATATAGGAAGAGGGTAAAGTAAACAAGAAAATTTCTATTCCTACTAAAGTAAGAATTAAACAAACTAGGAAAGATACTAAATACTAATCTAATCCAACTATGAAAGATACTAAACATAATCCCAAAGAGATTTAGTTTCCTTCTTTAATCCCGCTTCCTTCTTCTGTCTCTAATACTTTCCTTCTTCAATCTCGCTTCCTTCTTCTATCTCTAACAGAAGTTTCTTTCAAATGTGCTCTAATCAATATTTTAAAACTTTAAACAAAACAATTGTACACTCTATTTCCTTTCATTAAATATTACATAAATTTTAAATGAGCATACAGTAATAATTTTTGTAATGTGCATGTTCTAAGCATATTTAAAATAATAAATGTTCATACATCACTTTAATATGCAAAGAAATAATTGTGTAAAATTAATTTTGTTTATCTTTTAAATGTGCATATGTTGGATGTATATTGAAAATTACCTCTGTTGCATAAAAGTTCTCTATTTGACTTTTATAAAATAAAAAAAGAATAAAAAAGAAAAAATAAATTATAAGTTTTTATGGGAATGATTTAGTGCCTTTTATTATACACATTTATCTTTTTTCCTCATTATTTTATAATAGTAAACTTTTCCCAAAAAAACAAAGTAGGACATTTTTGGAAATAAAAATGACTCAAACCATTGTAAACAGAGACTCCTAACCAGAATCCAAATATTTTAGGTTTCCCTTCTTACTTTAAAATAGTAAAATTTTTATAACTAAAAAAAAGAATAGGAAACTTTTGGAAATAAATACAACTCAAACTATTATAAGCACTGACCTCTAACTGGAGTCTTCTCGTATTCACTTTTTTTGATTCGGCATTCCAGGTTCCTTCACTAAAAAAATAATTTAATTTATTTTGAATTATTACTCAGAACTTTATTATTTTGATATTAGAATTCTTACAAGAGATATATACTATGTAATTGATAGTCCGTTAGTAATTTAAAATTTTTGGATCATTCATCAATAATTTTTAATGTAAAATTAACATTATTAGTCTCAGACCATTTTTTCAATTATTAGTAAAAATTATTGCTTCTTTCGTTTTTTCATTTTTGTTACATGGATTAGTGACATACAAGAGGAAAACTAAAAAAGTATATGATTGATATTGATTTTAATAATTAAATAAAGAGTGTGAGTCACAAAAAATCACAAATAAGATTTAAGATAAAATATAATGGCATAAAATAAAATAAAAAGAGATTAAAATTGTAAAACTAGAGTATACATTTTTAATGAAAATATGAAATTTATAAAATAAAATAATTATTTTATCATTTTTAATTATTTATAAATCTTTCATAATTTTTAAAACTCTTTCTAGTCTCTTCTAACTCTTTCAAGCTTCTTCCAACTCTTTTCAATTTTTCTAACTTCTACAGCTTCTTCCAACACCTTTCAGTTTTTCCCAACATTTAATTTTTTTTTCCCCGACAAAAAAGAACAAAGCATTATACTATGTAAATAATAAGAGTAAATAACATGGGTAGAATTTTTTTGAACAAAATGCATAATTTATTAACCACACCCTCCAAAACAAGTACATCCCAACCATACATATTACACATCAATCACTACCAAGGATCATCAAAAAGAAAAGATAGTCTAGACCTTACATCAACACAATAGATCTCAGTTTATAGTTTATGAACATTTTCATTTGCTCCTTAATCCATCTGCAACATTATTTGGTAGGAGTATCCTCTTGAAGCTTTATCAATCTATTCCTCACTCTCCACAAAACATAACATTGGGCTGCAATAGCTGTAATTACAATATGACTGGCCTTCTTCCTTTGAACTTCATCATCTTCTCCAGCATGGCTCCATCATTAGTTGCACTCCTGTGATGTTTAATCTAGCTTCCTATCTCCATTTGAACTTCTTTTGTATATATATCTGCAATCATAAAAAGATGATGCTTGTCTTCGGTTTGATGCAGACATAGAGCACAACTAGGATAGGTCAATAGGCATAAACCTACTGAGAATTGGTGTTTAGGGGTGGTTAGTCTGTTCTAGATCATTTGATACCCTTGTAACATGTTACTCCTTCCATTAGCTATTCATAGCCTCTATAAATTTGATACTCTTCCCTTAACAAAGTTCTGCCTTGAGGGAAGAATTGTTTTTTAAATCATTTGGTTTTTTTAACCATGCATGTGGTTGAAGAAACCAAAACCAAGAACTAGGGATGACAAGGAGTCAGATTTTTGTGATTGAAGAATTGTTTTTCTTCCCCTACATTGTTTTTATAATTCTCCTCATTCTCGAATGTCGTTTTCATTGTCGGACATCAAAGTAAAGACATTGATGAATGAAATTCTTCCTTTTTCTTCTTGAACAGAAGAAATTGGAAATAGATGGAAAAATTGGAAAGAGTTAGAAAATATTGAAGGGCTTCAAGTGTTAAAAAATACTCAATCAAATTATCTCCAAATAAATATGTAGGGACACTCCAATTTTGGATTTAAAAGTTATTATTGTCCGTATTTGAGGTGATATATTTTAAATTTAGATATATTCATCATATATAAATATTTTTTAAAATCGTTGATAGAAGAAATTAGAATTAGTTGGAAGGAATGGAAAAGAATTGACAGATTTTAGAAGGAATAATTGAATAAAATTAGAAGTTAATAATTTTCCAATCTAAAAGAACATAACTTTGAAAATTGCAGGGAAACATGGTAGTGGATATTATTAGGTGACAAAGGATGTTGGAATTAGACGTGATGACATTGAAACTACGATGAACATTTACAGAATATAGTTTGATTGGGAGTAATTACCGATCAGTGTAGAAACTGAATGTGAGATTTCTAACAATGTAAACCGTGTTCAACGAACACGAAATACTTTTTTTCAATTAAAGTTGTGTTCGGCGAACACAACTTTGACTCCCTAATTAAAACTGTGTTCGCTGAACACAAGTTGTTTTCATATTTTACAAACTATAACACAATCAAATATATGGTGCAATGGTTCAAATTACAATTTGTATAACAAAATAAAAATTAAACATAACATTGCCTATTTAAAACAAAACATACACTGAATATTTAAAAACAACACAAACTAATATTTAAAAATAACATACACTAAATATTAAGAAGACAAAAAAAAATGATAACAAAAAAAAAATAAACATAACACTGCCTATTTAAAACAAAACATACATTGAATATTTAAAAACAACATAAATTCCCCCTGGAAGCATTTTTGATCCTTCCGTTGTCCATTTCATCTCATTTTCCCCTGGAAGCGTTTTTGCCTGCGGCGACCGGAACACGATATTTCTCCTTCAGGCCTTATCGGTGGCAATACCGGATAC